ATGCCCATGAACATGAAACAAATATCCATTCAAATATAATAACTGAAAGGTTGAACTATGCACCAAAGCCAAGCAAACTCCACGACAGTCATGATTTTTAGGTCATATTCTTGCAATAACCAACAGACACTGTGTTGTGCAGCTCATTCTTGCAAACGATGCTTCCCTTAGTTCTACACATTCAAATGGATACCAATTCAAATCAGACCACAGGATCACATCCAGGTAAAGGTAAAGTCACTAACTCTAATTTTGTTAACTAAATTTTCAAAAACATTAAAAGACAATGATGTTTTATTAAATTTTTCATTGGTTTGCTAACTATGAATATTTGATCAATCTTTTCTATCACTGTTATGGATAGGGATAAAGATAGATGGTAAGAGTATGATGTACAGGTAGACAGGCAAACAGACAGATACATAGATACACAATAGACACAAAGATATATAGGTACATAGATACATAGATGGATGGATGGGTGGATGAATAGACAGATACATAGATGATAGATAGATAGATAGATAGATAGATAGATAGATAGATAGATAGATAATAGGTAGATGATTGATATATGAGATCGATGATTCATAGATGACAGGTAGGTAATAAATAGATATAAACATATAGATAATCAACAAATGACAGATAGGTAATAAATAGACATAAATACATAGATGATATATAAATAATGGGTAACAGACATAAATATATAGCTATGTAGATAGTAAATGACAAGTAGTTAATAGATTATAAATAGATAGGCAGAGATTCAAGCACACACATATAAAATAGATAAATAGTAATGGAGAAATAGGTATGACTTATAGATAAGTAGAAATAGATATAAATGATAGCTAGATACACAGATAAATAGATACACACATGATAGACATATCAATACATATGTAGCAATGAAGAGATTAATAATTGATAGATTGATGATATTACATCTAGATATATGGAAGATATATGGACAGACAGATAATAGACAGATAGCTGGATAGAGAATATCTACATATCTAGAGATAGACACATGACAGATAATAGACAAAAATAAACAACAGATCATACTCGGAATTTGTAAATGAAGCTACATTATAATTGAGTACACACAACTTGGTGGCAAATTCTGCTGTGTGACAGGAACTGCTAATGTAGGACGCTGTCCTCAGATTTCAATCATGTCTACAGGGAAGCTCAAACACTTTGGTGTAGCCATTCTTCCCCACTGTCTCTGCTTGTTTCCTGAGCTTATTGTCACTGCCAGTGGCAGGAGACACCTCTGGGATTTGGAGCAAGACTCCCTGCATTTTTGTAACACACATCAAGGCAGATGATTCAAGAAGAGAGTGAGTTACTTTTGCAAAGTGCACTGCTCCCTCTCTTAGAGACTGGGTTAGGGTTAGGAAGTCATCTGAACACGTAGGGAACTTCAGCCTTACCCAGGCCTCCCTCTGACTCTACTTACTGTATGATGCTGTACTATACTGTACAATCGCTGGGACACGGTACTTGTTACCAAAGGCTGATCTCCTGATGTTCCTGCCTCAACTTTCCATATGGGTGATCACAGGTCTTCCTCTCTGTGCCTTCATGGTGGCAACATCAATTGTTCAGGGAACAAGTCTCAGGGGAGGACATGATGTCACTTGTCTCCCTTCCCTTGGAAAATGAGGCCATGAGGAGCAACAGTAAATGAAATGAGAGCAGGGAGCCTGAAGAGGCTTCACTACACAAACTAGTATTAAAATTGGGGATGGAGGGAGACAGAGATAGTGGGAAGGACTTAGGGAGGACTTGATGACAAACAGAGGACAATGCGAATGTTGCCTAGTCCTTGGAGCCTCCTGAAAGAACCCCTTACACTTCTATGCCCCGCCCCATCCTCTGCTGCCATGCCCAGGGTTTCTAGAAAATGCTCCAGTGGAAGATCTTTGTTTTAAGTGCTGACTCAGGCAGCTCCCTGGTCTTTGAATAGATCACTGTGCTTTAAGGAGTCCTAAAGGGGCCAAGGACACAGACACAGCTTGCCATGAAATGTTACACAGTAGGAAACGATGGAAACAAATATCACCAGCAGATGTACTTTTCCTTCCCGCCCTCCTCTGTCTGCCATGCTGGCTGTGACAGGGAGAGAGCGTGAGTTCTGCAGTCTAAGTTCTGCCTCTGCAGCGAGTTAGAAATGCCGAAAGCACCAGCCCTTGCAGGATTTAAAATATGTAAAGCTGTGATTAGGCTGCACATGCAGATTGCGCATGCATGCATACATGATCTGGAAACCTCAGATGTAAACAGAGAACAGGATGAAATTCCCTAAGAAAGCCAGTCTCGCCCACTTCTCCAGAAAACAGATACGATGCCCTGGATGCACATGGGAAGACAGCCAATTCTTATCTGGGGGCAGATCTTTCTCTCTTTACTAAAATACAGTGGGAGGCAGAGTAGACAGTAAAAAAACAAACAAACAAACAAACAAACAAACAAAAAAAACAAAACAAAACACTGGAGTACCAAGCAACAAGCAAGAAGAAATGGCATCCTCATGGAGGTAGGATGCCAAGCAAGAAAGGTTCTCAGCACTCCAGTGTTGTGACCTCAGCAGACCTGGGGTGCCAACCACGAGGCTTGGAGGGTCGCAGCATCTTCTGTGAAAAGCACAACAGCAGTCAGTCTCATGAAGGGAAGGGTGTGCTGGGCCAGGGGCAGGAAGGGAGACCCAGGAAAGGTGGGTCAGTCCCCAAAGCAGGAGTAAGCACCCTGCCTGCAACCGCAGGGTGAGTCTCGAGTCTGTCTCAGAAGCTGAGGCAAGAACAAGCCTCTGCTTGTAGTAGGACCTTTGAGTCTTATCTGCCAGACTGGGAAAGTAGGATGTGTATATTCTCAGCCTGACCCTGATTAGCTGGGCAAGTGAAAAATGGACCAAACAGAAGACAGCCTGTCAAAGCCACAGAAGAGAGAGCAAAAACCTGACTGGGCCAAGGAGGGTCTCAGTCATGACCCCAGCTCCATTCCTCCCCATCCCTAGGTATGGTAGAAGTTAGACAGGAGGAGGGAAACCCCACTGTGTGCCTGAAGATAAGGCTTTGGCCTGGAACCCTGGGAGGCTGCTGGGGTTCTCTGAGATCTTGTCGGTATGATGCTTCTCTCGCCATCAACTGTGGCCCCTGTGACAGGAGCCTCTGACAACTAGAATACCCCAGGAAAGGGGCTCTGCCTGATGATTTGGGTTCAATTCCCAGTACCTACATGGTTAGAGAACTAACTCACACACATTGTGCTCTGACTTCTTCCTCATGTATGCTGTGGCATGCTTGATCATGTACACAGATAGACACACAGAGACATACACATAAACAACTGTATGCTTTTTTTTTCTATAGGATTTTCTGAGGATTGATACTACTTCCTGTTAGTTTATACACACACACACTCAAACACGCAGATTCATTCTTTCTTTCTCCCCTCCCCCCACCCATCACCAGCTGGTAAACTTTCTGTAATAGACTGGGATGCTGATAAAAATAAATGTTGCTGACATAAAGAATTGATGGGAAAATATCTCATTTTAAATGAATGTTTTAGTCACAAGGAGGCAGCAGTCACAGTGGCTACTATAAATTTCGACCTTGACAAAGCCTTCTTGTAACTTACATCAAAAAAAAAAAAAAGTGTTGTGTGACATTAGCCAAAGTAATGGAATAATTTAACAAAAAGCAAGAACTGCTATTCAGTCTTCTTATTCCTACCACAAATCTCTGAGACTCTGATAGCCAGTTGCCACGAATCCAATTGGCCAGCTCTGAGTGTTTGACACCTGGCCTGAGCCTTGTGTGGGTGGCTGTCCCCGCACATGACAAGTGACAAAACTCTGGTGCTTGTTTTAACTTCTGCTAATCTTTCCACCACCTGCTGGCAATGCAGAGATGCTTTCAGGGTCTCTAACGAAAGCTGCAAGTACCAGGCACCATGGGAGGAGCACATTGGTTTGCTTTCCATAGCTGTGATAAACACCTTCACCACCAAAAGCAACTTGGGGAGAGAAGTATTTATGTCAACTTACAGTTCTAGTCCTCATGAAGGGAGGCCAGGCAGGAACCTGGGGGCAGGCGCGGATGCAGAGGTCACGGAGGGAAGCTGCTTAGTGGTTTGCTCCTCATGGCTTGTTCAGCCTCCTTTCTTACACAGCCCAGGACCACCTGCCTGCAATGGGCCGGGCCCTCCCACATCAATCATTAATCAAGAAAAATGGCCACAGGCCCATCTGATGGTTGTCTTTTTCTCAATTGAGGCTCACTCTTCCCGGGTGACTCTAGTTTGTACAGAGTTGGCAAAAGATAATAGCACAACGTGTTTGTGCTGTTTGCAGAAACCTGGCAAAAGATAATCAGCACTATGGTGTGATGGACTGTAGAGGTCCTTTCAGCCAAAGATGGGGTCCCAAAGTTCAGAAATGGTTGAGGTCTGTGCCAGTTGCAATGCAATCTTTGTAGCAAGAAGCAAATATTACTTAGTTAAAGTAGATATTAATTCAGGCACTACTGTTACATTGTCTGGAACGTCTGAAATGTCTGGATCTGAAACATCCCCTACAAGCTCTTGTTTAAGACACTTGTCCCCAGGTGGTAGCACTGTTTGGGGAAGCTGTGGAACCTGCCTCTCTATGGATAGGAGCTGGCAGAACCAGACCGCTAGAAGTAATACACACACACACACACACACACACACACACACACACACACACACACATACACACGATATATGTATCAAACTGAGAGAAGAAGCTGTTAGCTATTTATCCTGGCTCCTTATTCCCATCATGCTCTCCGTTTCCTGGTCAGCAACGATGTAAACACACTCCTTCTATGGAGAACTAATCTGCTCCACCATGAAGAAATGAAGTCCCCTGAACTCATGAGGCAAAATAAAAGTTTTCTCCATTCAGTTATCTCTATCAGGTATTATGACCACAGCAATAAGTACTAAACCAGCATGGGAGTGATATTTATTTTATTAAATGCATATATGTGTAAACATATCTATGCCTAAACAGAGGTGATCGACATCACAGCAGGGTTAAATCTTCATTCTTATTAAATATTCAAATGTGTTTTGTCCAGTTGAAAGTTTCTGAATAAAAGATGAACGAAGGACCAGTGGGAACATATAAAGAAGTCAAGTGAATCACACGGGTATGCATCTACTAATCCACCGAGGAGACTGCCTGCCCCACCCTGATGTTATTAGGGGAACGCTGACAGGAGCAAACATCTCCAGGTGGCGGGCTCCGAAGCGGGGAGTCCTTAGATATTATTTTCCAAAAATATCCGAGTCGTCCTCTAGCTCTTCTACATCTGTATATTCCCCAACGAGATCCCACAGAGCCCTTAAAATACACAAGAGATAAGGGCAAGGGCTTAGAAGAATATATACACTGGGGAGGGAAAAAAAGAGTTCAAGCAAATATTCATTCAGAACAGATTCACCCAAACAAATGAGGTTGAAATCAACAACTTTTGGTTTCAGCAGTTTTGTTAGCAGAGCTTCAGCACTATGAGAGTTTCTCCAGTATTTGAGGGGGGTCCCCTAAAGCATCTTCTGATAATGATACTGTGCAGACAGCATGCCTTCTAGCACATCCATTGCCAGAGTGGAGGGAGAAACAGCTTCCCAGCAGGGTCTGTGTAACTGTGTCTTTTTTTTTTTCTGACTTCCAGCATGACATAAGTTGCTGCAGAGAGTAACCCAGGTATTCATCCTTATTCCTCCACCACGTGACAGGGAAAGGAGATTCTCTGGCTTTTGCCCTTCCCTGCAACTACTGATCATGCTGGGACCAACTGCTAGCCAGGGAGATAAGTGAGAAAGTGCCTGGAAAAGGCCACCTATGACAGGTGTGTGTGTGTGTGTGTGTGTGTGTGTGTGTGTGTGTGTGTCCCTCAGACTGAGCAGAAGCTGTTAGCTATTTACCCTCTGCTTTGGAAAATGGACCTGATGCCTAAAAATAGCTACACTAAGACCCATGAGGAAAGCCACAGGCGTTGAAAGGAAAGAAGGATGACGCTGATGGGCTCAGGCCATTGATGGCCACGGATTCTCTCCATGTTGATGTAAATATGCCTTCCTAGATTTCAGCCGGCATGTTTCTCTATGGCTCCATCTGCACAAAGTCTCAAGATTTGAACTCAGTGCCAACTTTCAGAGAAGCAAGCACACAAAAGAAGCATGCAACCAATGCTGTCAATCCACCATTTTACTTTTAAATTTTATATTGTATTTTGGTGTGTGCGCGCTCACGTGCCTGTGTATGGAGGGACACATGCACATATGTACCTCAGTGCCTATATGGAGGTCGGAAGATAATTTGTAGGGGCCAGCTATCTTATGCCATGTGGGAGTCAAGGCTCAAGTTTAAGTTAATCAACCTTAGGAATAAATAGCTTTACCTGCTGAGCTATCTCACTGCCCCCCTCATTTACTTTTTAAATTGAAAGTTTGGAAGTGCGTGGGATTTTTAAAGTTTTTATTACTGTTAAAAGCCCTGCAATTTGAATATAGAATGCTACCCAAAGCCACATGCTACCCCCATATGCCTGGCCTCTGCCCCTGAGAATTTACCCCAATTCTTTAGCTGCTTCTAATGAAACTGTATGCTGATAGAGAAAATGTGCACTGTGGGGTTTAGATCTCCAGGCGATCACAGAGAAAGACAACACATATGTGCACATGCTTCAAAGGGCTGTCCAGCCTCACCTACTTTTAAGTGAAATGATATTATTCACTCTATCACAGTATCTGGCACAGGGCCGGGGGAGGGGAGCGCAAATGGAAGGACCTTAGTTCATCTCCCCAGTACCCATGCAAATGCCAGGTAGGCAAAGAGGCAAGCTGCCTATAATCCCAGCCCTCAGAGGGTTGAGACGGGATCCTTGGGGCAAGCTGCCTAATGAGATTAATCATCAGGGAGCTCTGTGTTCAAATGAGAGCCTCTGCCTCAAAGAATAAAGTGGAGAGTAGGTTAGAAAGCCTTCTTGTTAACCTGGGGCCTCCTCATGCACGCCCACGCCTGTACACAATGCTGCCCACAGATGTGTAAAGCACACACACACATACATATGCAACACACACACACATTTTAAAACACAATAGCCGTGCTTACTTCCTGTCTTCATTCTTGATCTTACTCTTCTTTATGAGCTGCTTTATTTGGCTTTCCAGACCCTGCAGAGATGTGGAAATCCTTTGGTCATCTGGAATGTCATGATCATGGTCATGTATACTGACAATATGATGGGATCAGACTTAGTGACTCTGTCATGTAGAGCACACTAAACACACCATGCACAGCTCAGAGGCACACATGGCCTAGGCATGCAGGACTATGATATAAGTAGCAACTGTCCATGAGCATTTGGAGGGTTCCACTCCTTGCCACCGGCTATGTTGTTCATTATCCTGAATGGCAAGGTGTGTGGCTAAGTTAGAGAAGCAGTTATGATTGATACATTCCATCATCACAATGTACTGTGCTTGCAAGAGTCCAATTTTGGGCAGAGGCCTCCATAGACTGACTTTGCTCACATAGAGAAAGCTATTCCACAAGAGGAAAACACGTGTTTCTGTGTGACTTATGGCGAAGGCAAGCAAACATTTGGATAATACTTGTATAGATAAACACTGATTTGTATATATAAAAAGGCATCTTACTTTTATTTTCTTCCTTAAGATTCTGTTCGTTGTTTCCAATTTTATACCTTCATTCTGAAAGCAAATGGTTTTAAAGAACAATTTTAAAAGAAAATGGTTAAAACTTTTTCTCTATTTATGAATTTTTTTTAAAAGAAGCATTATGAGACTGGTGTGATTATAAATTCAAGAGTGTTCAGTTCCACATAATTTTAAAATAGACATTTACTCTGGTCAGGGAAGCAGGTAGGTTAACTGCAGATTTTCACCTCTCCTCCCCTCCCCCAAACCCAATCCCCAGGTCTATAACATAACACCTATTGAAGCTTCCTGTCCGTCTCTGCCCCAGTCTCCAGTGGACCACACAGATATTACCCTCTAACCTTCCTTCCCCAACTCATTGCTTTCTCCCACCCCCTACTCCAGCAGGCATTCCCTGGGAACCTGCCAGCCAAGCCTGACAGAGAAGCAAGGAGGCCAGCCAGCTAAGCAGGTAGGCAAGCTTCTTTTGCAGGATATTTGATGCCATTCTGAACTCCAAAACTGTGAACTATTTCCTGTTTGGTGTGGTTGAGCCCTATAACACGACTTTAATCCAAAAATTTTCTTTTTATTGTAAACAGGTGATTATGGTGTGGTTCGACTAGCCCTAGCACACATCTTTAATCCAAAAGTTTTCTGTACACCAGATTTAGTAAAGTTAACCATAGGTCAAGAGGCAGAGCAAGAAACCAGCTGACAGGGATTAAAGAGTAGGAGGGACTTTGATGAGGGGTATTTAAGACAGCACAGAGAAACAGAAAAGGCTTTTAGCTTAAGCTCTGCCTTTAGCTTAGGCTTCAGCTTCTCAGCTCCCTGGGTTTTTAGGCTTTGAGCTAGCAAGCCTTTGGCCTTGGGTTTTTTTTCCTTCTCCTCCTGGGCTGTCAGTTGAGCTACTGAGCCTTTTGGATTTTTTCCATCGAGACCTGAGCTGAGAAGGAAGGTCAGCTGGTGCTTTCTCTGCCTCTCTGAGCTAGCAGGTTTTCACCCCAGCATCTGGCTCCTGAGTCTTTGGTAAAATAGAACGGCTGGGATTTTCATTCTAGTTTATAACAACACAGATCTTCTCTCTCCTTCCTCTCCTCCATATCCAATGCCCCAGTCTTATCCTCAGCTCTGTAGCAGACTATTTGTTGTGGCCTCTCTTCACTCTCTGCCCCTGTTTCCCAGGGGGCTAAGCAGATCCTGGTAGAATACCCCGCTTTTCTCCCTCCTGAGGATTCTGCCACCCTCACACCTGCTAGTCTACCCATTCCTAAGTGTCAGCTCCTAATACCTAGGTAACAAATTTTAACATTGGCCACACCTACAGGGTCTCAGAAGAATTTCATAACAGGAAAAAACACAGTCACCACACTCTCCTAAGAACCAGAGAGGGAAAAAGAAATCAGGAAACAAAGCACCTTCCTAACAAAGACAAGACCATATAACACTATCTAGAATTACAAGCATGTGAAAGACTTATTTATATGATAAAACTTCGAAGTATTTGAAGAAAGAATTTAAGGTAGATCTCAAAGATGAAAAGATCTCTGTGCTCATAAATTGGTTTACGAGCTGGCCATCTAGAAATTCAATGTAATTCCAATCAAAATTCCAACACAATTCGTCACAGATCTTGAAAAGATAATTATCAGCTTTGAATGAAAACACAGAGCACCCACGATAGCTAAAACAATCCTAAACAATTAAACAAAACAACTACAAAACTGCAGGAGTTATAACTATTCCTAATCTCAAGTTATGCTACAAAGCTACAATAATAATAAAATAATAAAACAAACAAACAACAACATAAAAAAAAACCACAGCATGGTACTGGCATAAAAGCAGACATGTTTATCGAGGGCATCAAATTAAAGACCCAGACATAAACTACACACCTATGGACACCTGACTTTTTATAGAAAATCCAGAAATACACACTGGGAAAAGAAGGCATCTTCAACAAATGGTGCTGGTCAAACCAGATGCCTGCAGGTAGAACAATGCAAATAGATCCAAACTTATCACCCTGTGCAAAATTTAACTCCAAATGGATCAAAGATCTCATTATAAAACCAGATACACTGAACCTAATAGAAGAGAAAGTTGGGAACAGGCTTGAACTTATTGGTACAGAAAAAGACTTTCTGAACAGAATATTGACAGCAATTAATAACCTCATGAAATTGATAAGTTTCTGTAAGAAAAGGGACACTGATATTCAGACAAAGAAGCAGCCTATAGAGTAGGAAAAGATTTTTACCAACTATATATATTTGATAGAGGACTAATATCCAAACAACATAAAGAACTTAAAAAACTAGATATCAAGAAAACAAATAACCTATTTTAAAATGGAGTACGAAAACTAAAGAGAATTCTCAAAAAATGGAAACTCAAATGGCTGAGAAACAAAGAAATGTTCAACATCCTTAGCCTTCAGGGTAATGCATATCAAAACTATTTTGAGATTTCATCTTACACCCATTAGTCATCTCATGTGTGTTAGGATGTGGAGTAAGAGGATCACCCATCCATGGCTGGTGGGACTGCAAACTTGTACAACCACTCTGGAAATGAGCGTGGCAGTTCCTTAGAAAGATGGGAATCAGTCTACCTCAAGATCCAGCTATACCACTCTTGGGCGTATATCCAAAGGACACTTTACCCACAGAAACACTTGCTCAACCATGTTCATTGTTGCTCTATTCAGAATAGCCAGAAACTGGAAACAACCCAGATGTCTTTCAACAGAAGAATGGACAAATATAACGTGGTACAATTTACACAGTGGAGTATTACTCAGACATTAAAAAAATATGACGTAAATGGATGGAACTAGAAATAAAAAAAAAGATCATCTTGAGTGAGGGAATTCATACCCATAAAGACAAATATGGTAAGTGCTCTCGTATGTGTGGGTATTAGCTGTTTAGTCAACAATAAACAAATGACAATCCATAGAATCACAGAGATAAGGCATAAAATAAGAGACTAAGAGGTACAGATAGATCTCATTAGGAAAGATAAACAGAATAAATAAATAAATAAATAAAAATAGATAAAAATAAATAAATATAAATAATAAATAATAAAATAAAATAATAAATAAATAAATAAAATAGAATAGTTAGCTGGGGATGGGTGGTTAAGGGGTGGAACAGGAGGATTAATCAGAGAGGGGGATGGAAGAGAGGGTCAAGGGAGGGGATATGAGGAGAGAAAGCTAAAATTAAGGGCCATGTGAAGGGTACGGCTTCCTAAAATACACACATATGTGAAAAAGAGATCAAATAAAACTGACAAAGGAGGAGGCAAAGCACCATCTAGATATCTCTTGTCAGTACTGGGAATAGGTTATATCCAATTGAGTTGTTGGCCAAACGGGTCTCAAAGGAACCCCAAAACAACTGAAGCTGTTGCCGAGACTATAGGTTGTTTTCCACAATCTGGGGCAAGGTCCTATTTATGAAGATGACACCTACACAACCCATTAAACCATGAAAGTTGAGCTGGTGCCAACATAGAACCTTTATACCTATATGTTAGCATCTTTGGTACAGGAAAGCACTCTGCATGGTACCAAAGGAGGAACCTAAACACCAGTCCTAAACAAACAGATCACAAATCTGTTGATCTACAATGGTGTCCTTCCTGCTAGGCAATAATGCTATTTTGACTTAAGGCCCACTCCACATCATAGAACCCAGACCTGACACTGCTTGGTGACCAAGAACCTGAGACTAGATAGCCCAGTAAAAAAACCAAATGCTACTGTTTTTTTTTTTTAATGGCATTAAAACGACTCCTAATAACACTATTATACTCATAGATCAGTGCCTTGCTCAGCCATCATCAGAGAAGCTTCCTCCTGCAGCAAATGAAAACTAATACAAAGACCCACAGAGAGACCAATATATGGAAAGTGAGAGACCTTGGAACACTCATCCCTAAATGGGATGAGGAAGAGGAGGTGGGAAAGGTGTGAGAGGTGATGGAGGACACGAGGAAGACAAGGTCCTCAAGTCAACATGATCAATACACATGAGCTCACAGAGACTGAGGCAGCATGCACAGGGCCTTCACAGGGCTGTACCAGGTGGGATTCTGGAGATGAAAGATGAAGTGGACACATACCCCCATCCATCACTCAGAAGCTATCTCCAATTCCTAACCATTTGGAAATGAAAATTTAGTTTCCTCCAAGGGAGTCTCGCTGGGGAGGCTGCATGCCCAGCAGTAGACATCGTTGTATGGCCCCCGTCTCAGAACGTCATGTCAGGGCTCTCCCATTTTTTTAATCTTATTTTTAATTTTTATTTTATCTTATTTATATAATTTTTCTTTTCTCCTCGTAGCCTGCAGGTCCTTTGGGTACACATCATGGCTCCCAGTTGACTGTTTTTAAGGTGTTCCTGAGTGTACAAATGAGGGCGTCTCCCTTTCTTATGCCTTCTTCCTCTCAGACTGTTTTCCTTTGGTTTGTTTGTTTTGTCTAATCCGGATGTGTCAGTTGTTTTTTTATCTTATTATACTGTATTTTATTATTATCCCACAGGAGTCTGTTTTCTAGTAAGAGACAGACAGGAGGTAAGTATAGATGGGAAAGGATGGGGGTGGAAAGAGGCGGGAGGAGTAGAGGGAAGGGAAACCATACTCAGGATATATTATGGGAGGAAAAAAAAACTGATTTTCCATAGAAGAAAAATAAATAAAGCAAATATTTAAATCATTAACTAAGAGGCACAGTAATAGGGAAGAGTCTGTGAATCAAAACTGTAGAAACGGAATTACAGAGCAGTCCTCGGGTACCTGTTACTTAGAAGCAAGGTGAAATAAAACTGCAGATGCCAGGCGTGGGGACACACTGTGAATCCAGTACTTGAGAACTGAAGGCAGGAGCATTAGTTCAGGGCTGTCCTTCACTGTACAGTGACTTTGAGGTCACATGGGTTACAGGGAACCAGTCTCAAGCCGACCAAAGAGTACAAATGTATTTCACTTTATGCACTTTGCATCTCTTTTTCTTAGGAATTGAAGATTTGTGACAAGCCTGTGTCAAGCATGTCCAACAGACCTGGTGAAGCTGAGCATGTCGTAGCTATAGTTTATTTTTCATTTTTGTTTAAAATGGCATGCTACCAAGCATGTAATTGTCTGCCATAGAGGGGGACCATAACTTTACATGCACTGAGAAACCCAATAATTCTCACAACTGACCTAATTGTGGTATTTGCTTTACTGTGGTGTCTAGAAGCTAGCCCACCATCACCAAGGCATGTTTGCCTCCAGAACTAAGATGCGCGCCTAGGAGCAACAACTGATTATTAAGTATTGCTTAGTTAAAAGTGTGGGAGCTGGAGAGATAGCTCGGGAATGAAGTTCACTTCCTGCTCTTCTAGAGGCCTGCAGCTCCCAGCGCTGTGTCAGGCAGCTCACAAACACCTGTAATTCCAGCTCCAGGGAACACAACGCCCTCTTCTGGCCTGCCTTTCTAAGCGCCTTTGTGCGCACGCACGCGCACACACACACACACACACACAAACAGGCACAAACACTGACGCAAAGACACACATGTACACACACATAAATCCTAAAAATAAAAAAATTTTAAAAAAAGGTGTAACAAGAGAATTGAAACAATGATGCAAAGGGCGAAAAAACTTGGTCTTCCAAGAAGCTACAATAAGCTACAGGAATGGAAGGTTAATGCTTTGTTCAATTAAAAACCTACACACCAGCCAGGTGCGGTGGCACACGCCTTTAATCCCAGCACTCAGAGAGGCAGAGGCAGGTGGAACTTTGTGAGCTTAAAGTCAGCCTGGTCTACAAAGCAAAATCCAGGACAGCCAAGGCTACACAGAGAAACCTGTCTGGGAGTGGCAAACCTACAAACCAATCCATGGTGTAGACCCGTATGGCCCTTCTATGTACCTTGTAATTATTATTCTGCATTAAAAACAGACGAAGTACTGCTAAAATACAGCACTGCTAAAATACATGGAACTAGCCACAAGAAATCCTATTAGGTCACAGTCCACACAAGCTCTGTGTAGTATCTACACGTTTCAAGCATGACAGGGCTCCGCAGAGTCCTGCCATCTCTGTTCTTGTTTCAGATAGGCCTTTACTGCTCTATATAGCCACTATACCTTTTGAAGTGAAAGCATATTTTGGACTATGCTTCATTAGATTTTAAGCAAAACAAACGTAAATATTTACACGGAGAATTTGCATACCTCTATGCTTTTAATCGCACTCTCAGCGAGATCCATCACTCTGGAATGCACCGAAGTTTTCTTAACGTGTTTTTCTAGTGCTTTAATTTCATCCCATTTTTCAAGGATCTCACACCTTCTCTTCTCAACCTTCTCAATCAGAGTGAGTTGGTCCTCATCATGTATGTTTTTCTCCGGTAATTCTGGAAACAGGTTCAAAGGCAGTTACTGTGTTTAATGTTTCAGCTCTTGTTAAGAGCGGTGTGTGTAATGTTATACTCGTTACATATAACTACAGTGTGGCCACCCACATAGAGACATATCTGCCGAGTAATCCAAGCATATTAATAAAATCTCTGTTCCAAAGAAATAGGGGTATTCCTCTCCTGATGCTTTCATGTGGTCTTCAGGTATCAGTGGATGCCTAGTTCTGTAGACACTGGGCGAGGCAGAAGGCATCAGTTGTGAATGATGGCCAGAACCTCTTCCGGGTTTGCTTTGTAACAGTGTGTTCTGGCAAGAAACTCCACGAAAACAGCAGGGCAGGAGGCCATGCCCCGGGGAGACCCAGGTGAACACCGCACAGTTTGGTTCGAGCGTAAGGAGAATTCACCAAAGATTGAGGGACTTGAGGCTCAAGGGAGAACAAGAAGTAGGTAGGCGCATGGCATGGGGATGAAGACACCCACAGAAAATACTGGAAAAGCAGCGGGGAGCTTGGGGCGGCTCTCACCTGATTTCTCCTTAGCAGTTTCCAGCAACTGGTGCTCGGCCTCCAGCTCGCTTCTGAGTCTGAAAATGGGTAGAAAAACAGTCATGAAACATCAAGTGCCACTTGGGCATTATTGCATCTGTCCATTTTACACCAAGAAGTGTGTGTGTGTGTGCGTGTGCATGTGCGTGTGCGTGTGTGTGTATAGTGTCTGTGTGTGGTGAGGTACAATGTGTGTGTGGTGTATGTGTGTGTACGATGTGTGTGTGGTGTGGTATGGTGTGTGTGTATGTGTGTGCTGTATGTGTGTGTATATGTGTGGGCATATGTGTGCGGCATGTGTGTTTGTGTGTGGTGTGTGTGTATATGGTATGTGTATAGTGTGTGTTGTGTGTGTGTGAGTGGTGTGTGTGTTTGTGTGTGGTGTGGTGTGTGTAGTGTCTGTGTGCTGTGCGGTGTGGTGTGAGATGATGTTTGTGTCTGTGTGCGTGATGTGTGGGGCATGGTGTGTGTGTATGTGAGGTGTATGGCATGGGTGTGTGTGTGTGTGTGTGTATGTATGTGGTAT